GGGCAATGTTCCGAACACATGAATGGTCAAACAGTGAAAGTCTTTTGACGTCCTCAGCGCGCAGCGGTCAGGTTTCTGTTCCTGTCTAGGCTTGGGAAACCTGGTAGTACCTCAGCTCCTTGGCAGCTAGGTACAGAGTGGGTGATACAAGTGAAAAAAATTGTGATCACGACACTCCCTGCCTGGCCTTATCTCTTTGTTTGTGTATTGCAACTCCCGTCATATTTTCCCTCGACGTATGTGCCATCCGCCACAAGAGCCACCAATTTGGTACGATTACTTTTGACAGTGACTTTTTTGTCGGCAAGGCCTGTCACTCCCACGCCGATTTAGAACTCAACCAACTGTTATGATTGTTAGGTAGGAATCCACGCGGACCCCACTATACCGCACGAACATGGCCACCGTCCAGACCCGGAGAACACTGAAGCGATCAAACGTATGCCAGCACCCACAGACGTGGCGTCCCTCAGGTCTTTCCTCGGTCTCGTCAGTCACTACAGTTCGTTCCTGCCTGCCATGCATCGCCTTCGAGGCCCACTAAATCAGCTACTTACCAAGGACCACAAGTGGACATGGTCAGAAGAATGTCAACGCGCCTTTGACTCTGTCAAATCCATGCTAAGTTCCGATTTGCTACTCACACACTACGATCCATCGATGGAAATTGTTGTGGCGTCGGACGCCTCGAACTATGGAATTGGCGCAGTGATTTCACACGTATTTCCAGATAGCAGCCAGAAAGCCATTGCACATGCGGCCAGATCCCTGACTTCAGCCGAGCGCAACTACAGTCAGATAGAAAAGGAAGCCTTGGCGATCGTGTTTGCCGTTAAGAAGTTTCATAAAATGCTTTACGGCCGTCAATTCACCCTACTGACCGATCACAAGCCACTTCTTGCTGTGTTTGGCTCGAAGAAAGGAATTCCGGCATATACTGCCAACCGGCTCCAGCGATGGGCCACTCTGCTTCTGGGGTACGACTTCAAGATAAAATACCAGTCCACTACCAGCCTGGGACAAGCCGACGCACTGTCCCGACTCATTGATTCAAGCAGGCCAGAACCAGAAGATACCGTGATCGCAACAATTGCCTTGGAACCAGAGGTTAACCACGTAGTTTCCGAAGCTGTTCGCATCCTCCCAGTGACTGCCGACATGGTCCGCCAGGCTACCGATCAAGACCCTGTGCTGCAGCAAGTCATAAAGTACCATCGCAATCAGTGGCCGCGTACCTGCCAAAAAGACGAACTAAGGCCTTACTTCAACCGGCGTGACGCATTATCACTAGCCGATGGATGCCTGTTGTTTTCAGAACGTGTGGTCATCCCAAAGAAGTTACAACCAGCCGTCCTGAATCAGTTCCATAAAGGGCACCCGGGAACAAACAGGATGAAGGCCCTTGCTCGGAGTTATGTCTACTGGCCTTTGATGGACTCCCAGATCGAGCAAGTCTCGAAATCTTGCCTGCGGTGCGCTGAAGCATCCAAGTCACCGGTGAAAACCTACCTAAGCTCGTGGCCGCAACCGACCGAACCCTGGTCTCGTCTTCACATCGATTATGCAGGTCCAGTGGGTGGCCAACACTTTTTGGTCGTGGTCGACGCTTACAGTAAGTGGCCGGAAATCTTTCCGGTGAACAGCCCCACAACTGCCATTACAGTCCTGGAACTCCGGCGATTGTTCAGTCGGTTTGGAACGCCAGAGACAATTGTATCCGACAACGGCAGTCAGTTTACGTCGTCGGCGTTCGCACACTTTTGTCGGGAGTATGGCATAACGCATATTCGCTCGCCGCCGTTTCATCCACAGTCGAACGGCCAAGCGGAACGCTTTGTTGACACTCTCAAGCGGGCACTTCAGAAGTCCAGGGGGGAGGGACCAACGGAAGAGATTTTGCAAAGGTTCCTGCTGGCATATCGAGCGACGCCAAACCCCAACTCACCTGATGGAGTATCACCAGCAGAGGCACTGCTCCGAAGGAGGCTCCGAACACCGCATGACACTATCCGGCCACAAACGAAGCAGGCTGGTCACCGCAACACCAGAATGGAGGAACAGTTCAACCGGCATCATGGAGCAACTGCGCGCGCATTCAGCGAAGGCCAGAGAGTGTTGGTTCGTGACTACAGCGGCAGACGCCCTACGTGGACCCCAGGACTCATCCTTCGCCGGCGCGGCAAAGTGCTCTACGAGATTCAAGTTGGTCCAGCCAAGTGGATACGCCACGCGAACCAGATCCGGCCGACAGATGCGCCGATCCTGCCCACAGGACCGAGTGATATGAGTCTAGAAATGCTTCTGGACACTTTTGAACTCGGCACCATCCCAGGAAGTCAATCAGTTGCTTCGTCAGAGGCCCAGCCTAAGCACGAATTACAACCGCGACGCTGGACAGACAGGATCCGCAAGCCAGTGAGGCCAATGCAAGTGAACCCCCGGCTTCGAAGCTACGTCAACAAACTTCAAGGGGGAGGTGTTAGGCAGGAATCCACGCGGATCCCACTATACCGCACGTCTTTAGGCGCTGCTACGGCCGAGAAGCCTGGCCCGCTCGAGGTTGGCCCAGAATTCGGGACGCTTGCCGGTCCGGCATCAAGACGAGATCTGATTGGTCAACAATCTGGACCCAACAGCCAATCATGACCCAGTATTGGCCAAATGCCGGTTGCCAATGGCGCATCCAGAACGCGTCAGAAATTCCAGAAAGTTATAACCGCTTACGCTATATGTACGAAGCGCTGTACAACTGTTCTTGACTTCGTTTTGGGCATTAATAGACTGCACGCACCTTTGGTGGTTGTTTTGACGTGAACGCTAGCTTGGGAGGCTCAGACCGAGAACTAAGCTGAGGGAAATACCGTTACATGATTGGGCCTAAGCTGAGGGAAATACCGTTACTACAATGATTGGGCGTTGGTATCAATCACTCAACGGTCCGCGGAAATAGAAGGGGAGAGAGGGCAAGGCACTACTCGTTTCACTGGACTCGTACTAAGCTTCCCGTAAAGTGTTGTCCTAGAGTGATTTACTGAGTGGGTAAATTGTTGGTGTTTTGCTATCAAAGCCCACTGCAATACTGGTGGCGTACTAACCAAGGTTTTACGTAAAACCAGAAGGCCCCACTTAGATAAGACAGCTAGCCGGAACGGCTAAAGTCTAAATGTACCAAATTAAAGTACACTGTAATGCCTTCTATGAACCAGTTTTGTGTCGTCCTCATTTCCTGTTTTGCTCATGAAAAGTTTGTGAATAGGCGCGATACGAAACTTCGACGCCCTCGGCTGTTCCCACCTTTCCGAGTATTCAAGTGACGTTACAGAGCGCGTACACTGTAGTTCTTATCAGCATAATCGGCTCGTCTGTCACTTAATCATCCTGCTTATGGTTTGTGAAGTGTGGAGCGGAAGAGAATGGGTGTTTTCTACCAATCACACAGTGACCAACCAAATCAAGTAACGAAGTTCACGTATGACTTCTAGTCATTGAAGATCACGGTGATCGCGTAGACTGTTTTTTGCATATCGGGTCGCTTTCCTTATGGCTTTCCGAACTACACACCGCTTGATTGAAGCCTCTATCTGGTTACGACTTCTGTATGGGCTGTTTTTTATTCGTAATTTTACCCTCCCAACTTAGTTGTGGTTACTCTGTCCGCATTTTTCTGGGGATGCTGCAAGACATCGCTACCAACCAAAGTTCATAACGGCTATATGTTCAGTTTCTTGGCATGGGTCTAGGCGTCCTGAACGTGTCAGTGCGACTCGCCTCCCAGGATGGGGGCCACGTGATCCCCAATGCGCCTGGTTGGAGACGCTGCAAGATACCAATCGGTGTCAATGGCGTCTTTTTTAGTTTGTATCCAGATAACCTGGACGAGTTTCTGGATGTGCAGGCACCTCTGAATGATTGTGGCTGGCTAGCCATAAGTGCCTTCCCTGTCCACTTTTATTCTTCCCTTCACAATAAAGCTTTTAAATAAATCGAAGCGAAGCACCAGTGTTGAATGTTGATGATGATGATGGTGTGGGTTGGCGCGTGTTCGTTTCATTTGCGCTCATGTTTCTGCTTTGACAAGTCACATTGAAGTGTAAATGAAGCACCAGTGTCACTCTGATTAATTATTTGGCACCGAAAGTGATGTCTGGACAATGTGTTTACTAATTGATTTCACCAATATGACATTCAGGGTTTGTTCTAGTCTCTAAAGATTTATGACGTCTGTCTAATGACTGCCCCTGTGTCACGTTAGCGGCTGGCAATAAGATGAGCCACACTCTCCGCTAAACATATTACCAGAAGTGGTTTGAATGCGCTTTGATCTGTTGTCTGTTTTTCTCAGGACTCCGGAACAAGTCCCTGCCTTGGTCTCGCTGCTCACCGAATCCTATCACCCGCATCTCCGATACGGCGCTGCAATGGCTATGGGAGTTGCGTGTGCGGGTACCGCACTGAAGGAGGCGACCACTCTTCTGGATACTCTTTGTGAGGGTACAGTGCCGTTTGTACGCCAAGGTGCCCTTATCGCCAGCGCAATGGTACTCATGCAACAGAATGCAGTCACATGCCCGAAGGTACAATTCTCTGCTATTTTCGAACAACAACGCGACATCTTTGATCGAATATAGGCATGCAAGTAATTTTGGTCGAATCACTTGGTAGGGCAGTCATTACTGCACAGATTCTGGACACTTTCTGAATCAATTCCCACTACCCGACCAATGACGACTTTATTCAAGTGATCATTCCATTGAATTGGAATTTTTGTTCGACTAAATTCCGACATCTTTTGATACCAAATGATCTACACAACAAAAAGCACATCTTCGTAATGTACTACTCATAAGGTTGCTCAATTCGTCGACATTCCGACATCTTTTGATACCAAATGATCTACACAACAAAAAGCACATCTTCGTAATGTACTACTCATAAGGTTGCTCAAATTCGTCGACAGCCCAAGACCGGTTTCGCCCTTCTTGGGACTCGTCAAGTAGGCACTATCCCCGAATGTATTTCACTAATTTCTTGCAATTTGGTTTCAAGTAGAACTGGGCAAAATTTCGGCATCTTTTGATAACAAATGCTCCACTCAACAAAGAGCACATTAGCAAGACGGCTTCTAAGCTTGCAACAAGAACCTCCGATGGTGCACACCTCTGGTTGAACAGTTGTTCTGTCCCAATGCGTTTTCTAAAGTACTCGTTGGAAGTGCATGTATCGATCTTCAGCCTCCCGATGACCATTACGGAGCCGATATGTATGGGTTCCCGGTAAGCTGTGTACCAACCGCTTGCATACATGGTAGAGAGTATGGAGGTAGTCAGAATTGGCTGCTGGCGTTTCGGCCACCAAAACTCGCACATCAATGGGTTCGTTGGCTCAGGTCCCAGGTTTTCAGTCCCTGTCAGTTGAGCAAGCCTCAACCGATTGGCACCAATAAAAGTCAAATGTTTCTCCTTTTTTTCAGTTTCTAGTTCTGAAATCGCCTGTATGTAGATTATCAGGACAAGGGCGGAAAGGTGGTTCGAAGACACGGGGTTCGAACTGGGTCGTTGAAATAGAGACCCAGCTGACTGAGTCGCCCGTAACCACATAGCCCATTGCTTTTGTCTATATGTCGATGTCCAGCTTGAGTTGAACCTAAAGGAGTCTTGAGGCCACCTTCGAACAGACCAAATGTTGAGGAGCCTCCTAAGCAAACAACAGACAGTCGGGATAGGGCACGGAAGTCATTCAGTAATACTGTCCCTTAATAAATCGACGGGTTCTCTGGGTTCACCAATGAAAAGCGTTTGAGGGTAGACTCCCCTATCTCAGTGGCTTTTTCTGACGGATGAGGTTACAGCCTCATCTTGTAGAGCCTCAAGACAGTTGTTTACTTGTGTCCTTCAATAGGGTTGGTTTGAATACCGTTCTGTTGACAATCTGACCCCTGTTACAGTGGAGTGTTTGACCGGCGTCCTGAACGAAAATGGCCTCAAATCTTGAGACGTGAGTGGCGATCGAGACTTCTGTGATTCGGACAGCCACCTGAGCTTTCACATTTTCCCCACATAGGCTAGGGCAAGGTGATTATATTTCAGCCGGTATACTTATTGCACGCGCCGCAGCTAATTGCCCCGATTTTGACTTTTTCTGAGTACCGTTCCTCTTTGACAAGGGCGTTCCATCATTTAGCTTGATTTTCTTTGAGTAGTCGTTCAGCTGTAGCATCCTTTCGGTGCCTAACTGCCATGCCGCCCGAAGGAAGCACGAGGGCTGGCATACTGCCAGGTTTACCAAGCCCAGACAGGGGAAGTCAAGAGGTAGAGGTCGGATTCGAATCATGGACCTTTCGGTCGGTAAATTCGCACTTTTTCCATCTCTCTCCCTCTTTGAATGGTACCATTTGCGTAACCAAGGGATGGCTTGTGAGCCTCCGGGGGAGTCGCGTTGGGTATTCAATTTCTACTGAATGCACCAACAGCTGTAAATTACATAATCCGGATGTCAGGCGAACTTACAAGAATCGTCTTCTAGAGTCTCTTCCAAGTGCTCCACCGTCAGATGTGAACTCATACTGGGACGAGATTGCCACCTCTTTGCATAGTGCTGGGAATTTTACCTGTGGCACGACCCAACCAGGCGCACTCAAGCACTGGATATCAGACCGAACGGTGGCACTACTTAATTCTCGAAGAAATATCCCAGCCGGTCCCGAACA